ATGTTGGAGGTCTTCCAGATCGAGAGTACTGGTCTCCAGGTAGCTATCCATGGGTGACTCCATACTAGAAGTTTCGCAGCTGTTTGGAGGTGACATGAATTCCAAAGGTCTTCTCCAGTCAGGCTGCGACTGGAGATGACTTCATATTTTGGTGTACATGAAGGTGATGGGCGAGAGCCAGCTCCTGCTTATCGAGGAACATCTTGGGTATCTTCCGCCCTGGTACTCGTATCCACGTCCTCTGTCTGGGCTGCGAAAACTTTGCTGATATGTGACTCGGTCGAAGTGACTTTTTTTGGCCCCCCTGTATATACAGATCCTGGAACGGTAAAAATCCCTGACGCCCACTTTCTATCGAAGAATGCCTCAATGGAGTTCATTCTTTCAGATCTTTCTTCATCTGACGCTGTACCTTCCACCTCCTCGAGTAATGAAATCCTGCTCAGCTAAGAATTTAACGGACCTACTCCTTTACGTAACTTGAATTTCCTTCAACCCCTTTAAGACACATTCCCAAATCGTGGTTCATGGGAAGAGAGATCCAATGTTCGTAGGAGCTAACTGACCCACTAAGGAGGAAAATACCAGATAAAATCCAGAAATGTCTCAAAGAAAGCGTGGGGGGACGCATTGTACTGAGCGAGAGGGGCGACGCAGCATGAGGGGGACGCATTGTACTGAGCGAGATTCTCCTGCATGGATGTATCAGATCTACCATCCTCTACCGTACCCTAAGCCAAGCTGGGGTGGATCAGCTTTTGCACCTTGACGTCGTTCCCTACCTAGTCGGCCACAGCGATCATTCACTGCAGCGTCGCGAAAGGAGTAGGGCAACTACTGAGATCGAAGATTGAACTACCTCTATGATAAAGTGTCTAGAGGAGCGAAGGTGGTGTAATGGAAACTGAGTAGCAGTCTTCTAACGAGGTCCGGAGTTCAAGTCCCTGATCGGTTCCCACCGAGTCCAAACAAGTCTTCTATTTTCCGAGGACGATAAATTTGAACCAGATTCGTCTGGGAGGATAAGAACACTGACTTGTACATCGGCTGGCCCCGCAAGTCATTGTATAGGCCACATCGCATTCAGTAAGCCACTACGATTCTGAATGGAAGTAGAATGCGTGCCGCATCCCACAAAAGGATTGATCAGACCTGATCCTAATCAACAGAACCTAATCCATTACCCTTCTATGAGGTGCTGCGATACGTATCTGTAAATCCGTAAAGTCAAACTGGCGCGCACTGGTTAACGTGATCGCAAGAGATCAGAATGAGTCCCTTATTGTCTTCAGTCTGAGACTAAGGAGTCCTAACAGGGATGATATCAGTGCGTCATTCGGTGGAAATTCACATCTTTACGACCCCTCACCGCGCGCCCCATCCAAGATCAAAGTACACATTGGCTGACTGTGATGAACATCACCCTCTACCATTACACAAATGCTGCTTTTTATGAAGAGAGATAATTAAACATTTCCAATCTCCCCGGTACTTCACATGCTAATGCACATTTACTCATCAGCTATAGCACCGAACGTAGAATATTTGTTCACTTTTGTTTCCGAATGGCTATCTTATCCTATAATTTTCCGAATTTAGCTATCTACAAGGGAGGGGGGGGGGGGGGCAAAAAAAAGACACTTCGACCGAGTCACATATCAGCAAAGTTTTCGCAGCCCAGACAGAGGACGTGGATACGAGTACCAGGGCGGAAGACCCAAGATGTTCCTCTATAAGCAGGAGCTGGCTCTCGCCCATCACCTTCATGTACACCAAAATATGAAGTCATCTCCAGTCGCAGCCTGACTCTTTGGAATTCATGTCACCTCCAAACAGCTGCGAAACTTCTAGTATGGAGTCACCCATGGATAGCTACCTGGAGACCAGTACTCTCGATCTGGAAGACCTCCAACATCGAGCAGCTCCGACAACGTCGCTCGTCAGGATATCATCTTCACCGCAGTCGCCAAGGCGCGGGTTGATGGTATGGACCGGAAGTTCCTGGAATGTGAAGACCGATATTTTCTTCGTGGACCCCGGACTGAAGGTGAGCGCTGACGGTTACATCGACCAACTCGTGGATATCCTGCCTTCATGTCATCGCCTGTACCTTCTTGGAGACTTCGTACTGCTACAGGATTGGGTGCCTCCACACGGAATCGAAGGGCGTTGGAAAAACTCTCGCCTACTTGGAATGGAAGGGCGTTGAGTACCTGAAGAAGACGGAATATCCAAGTGTGTCACCTGACCTAAACCCCTCAATTACCCGGTTCGGGCGGAGCTCAACAGGGTGGTCTACAGTGGCGGAGAAATCAACGATCTCGCTGAACTCAGGCACCGAATCACGGTCGCGTGGCAGAATCTCTCGATGGCGCTCGTCCAGAAGGCTGTGGCGGAGTATCGTGATAGTATACAATATGCTGTTGAATATGGTGGTGGAAATGTCCATCAGAATTTAATTAAGTGTAACTTATAGCGCCTTGAAAGTCAAGGAGGGAAAGTGACTTTTTTGCCTCCCCTGTCTACACCCTACTTCGCACTGTGCGTTTGCATTCTGGAGGAAACTAGGAATTTAACGAAGTACTTTTTTGCGTTATTCTTCTTCTATTTTTATGTTGAATCGCATTTAATGGCACAGTCCGAGCTAAGGTGAGATCGCTTGCGTTCGCCCTTCTTGCCGATGGATCGCCCTTTCGAATACGGTAAGAAGCAGGATCGCATCAATGAATATTACGTTTCGATCCATGCGACTCCGTCTATCCGATCAGCTCAGAAAGCGTTTTAATGCTGAATAAGTGCGAAGAAACGACTGTGAACCAGTAGCTGGGGAACTTTGACTAGGCCTAGAAGAGAAAAATATTTCTAGGGCAGAATGCAAACCTTACCAACCAGGGTAATTCTCGCGCTCTCGAAAGCGGTCCACCCTTCTTGACTTCTTGCAGAGATTATTACAAAACTTCGCAAGATGGTCTGATATTCGTAAAGGGATTTCCAAAATTGTCGCGGTATGCAGTTTGATGACGCCGCAATCAGTCGGGGCGGTCAAGGGGGATGAAGCGAGCCCAATCGCGGCGTTTTCACCACTGCTAGTTTTCCTCCTAAATCGGTCACCTAACCAATCACCACTGGTAGAGCAAGGCAGTCGGAGGGGCGCTCACTTCGTTCCTCCTGACACCCCTCTTCCTGACTGCAACGTTATAACAACCAGTTTGGCTGACGCAGACTTCTGCGCGCATGGTTCAGTCCATCGCTGTGACGCGAGTTATGAATCTGGTGACACTCCCCCTTTTGAGGCCTCCTGTCAGTCCTTGTGTGCTGTTATCACTTTCTGCCACCTACCATTCATTTTCCAGCCCCTATATCACTTCTTGGGAGCAACATCGCACTGTTGCTGTGGCCCTCGCAACGAATTTTGTGACCCACCCATTCTAAGGCCCCTTTTCAGCTCTTGTGTGCTGTTATCACTTTCTGCCACCTACCAATAATCGCGCGAGTTATGAATTTAGTGACCTTTCCCTTTTGAGGCCCCTTGTAAGCCCTCGTCAGTTGTTATCACCTCCTGCCACCCACCAATAATGTTTGTGTCCAGCTTCCTATATCACTTCTTGAGACCAACATTCCACTGCTGCTGTAGCCCTCGCTACGAATTTGGTGACCCACCCCTTTTAAGGTCCCTTGTCAGCACTGTCAGCGGTTATCACCTCCCGTCACTCAGCAATAGTGTTCCTACCTGACCGCTTACATCACCTATCAATTTGATCTCTCTACGACTGATTTGAAGGAAGTTATGAATTTCCGGTCAACGAGGTGACGAGGGACATACAGACAGCCAGACAGCATACACACAGACACACACACGCACCAACAGACAAATTAAGCGGATTATATATGGTAGGATACTTGACATTCTGATCTCCTTATTACAGGTACTTTCTTGTTACCATCGATACAGAGTGTTCCTCGTTCCATTCAAACAAATTTTGACGTACCGGATCGACAACCACACTTATGAAAAAGGTCAGTCGCAATGCTAAAACCCACTCCCAGCATATTCGATTGTGCTGTCACCTTCGGCTACTTAAACTTCCCCTCGGGTCCTGCCGTGAAAGGCTGAAGTGCGCACAGAGACAGCATCTACCCAATCGTAGAGATCAACGGAAGAAATTTCGACAAGGTATTTTCCAGCTCCTTCCTTCTGGCAATCCCGGCAGGTTGGTTGCGAGGGTTTGACTTCTTTTGTGCATGTGTTCCTCCTGACGAACTCGTAAGGCACAACAAGTTAAACATTTGATAAAGCGTACCAAAGTGGGGGAGGCTTCAGGGTGTGTGAACCGCTAACCATGCGTGAAAAGTCGAAGTTGGGAAGGTTAGAGTGCTCATAAAATGCTATGTAGAGCGCAGATAGGAGCAGGAAACTGTCGCTGCTCAATGGACGAAGACAGTATAGGCACTTCGTATCGTGAACGCCACTCAAATATGTATTTTAATCCTCAGGGCTTTTTTCTGAATAAACTGCACACAGCTAGTAAATTGTGGACATCTAATAAATAGGGGTGAACTATTGGTGGCTACCGTAAGTATTGTGACAACCATGTCAACTCAATGAAAGAAAATGTGTCCCATTCCAAATTAACAGCTCTGTCTACACTTCTTCCATTTTGATATTGTTCGTGCAGTATGAGTGGAGTAGTTCTTACACAATTCTGTTCTTTGAAGTACCGTCTCCACAAAGAAAATTGGAAGCAGGCTATACTAATGCTGCTATAGTATAGGTCAATTAAAATATTGTAAAAGTTGGTAGGATATGCAAGGTGGTCCTGAGCAGATTACATGGCACTGTATTGCATATGAATCAAGAATGAATTGTTGAAAACTGGCCAAAGTGTTACCTTTTTTGAGGATGTTTCTGCATCGTCCGACATTTAAAATAATTTTCTTGTCGATGATGGTTTTTTATGCGCCACCTTTGTTCCAATATTTTATTAATATCTTTCATAGTAATGAGCCTGGACACCAGTGGATTGCGGCAAAGGCGAACAGGTGTTTCAAAAATTGTCGAAGATCTTGACATTTTTGAAAAAGTCGTGGACAATGTAAAAGAAGAAAAGAAGGTGTCATCGGGTTTAAGTGAGTTTATTACTATATTTTGTGCATTACCATAACAGAGATTGCTTCTAGCACCATTGCCGACAGTTTTTTTGAAGGTTTTTTATGTATTGTCAGCTGTTGCTTTGCGGCGATTCTCCTGTTGTGCTCTTTCACTGATTTTTTTCCTTAATTTCTGCTAACTTTCAGTCTCCCTTATTTGTTTTTCTGCGATCATCTGTCTTGTTGTTGGGGAATTAGTGCATTATATTTCTGGAAACAAAGAGTATGATTATCGTTTCGAAGTGGACACTTCAATGGATGAGTAAGTTATTTTCAGTTGCACTTTTTATACCAAAAATGTTATTGTGGCATGTTGGCAATTCTCACTGATCTATCAATCTATCAATCTTGATCTTCTTTAGTCCTCACTGCCTCCTCCCTGTGAGGGTAAGAGCGTGGGGCATAGGTGTAGCGCACATTCGTTAACTGTTGAGAAATCTGAGATGAATTGCCATGTTGTTGATGACGAAAAAAGTGACGTCGTCGATGACGTCACTACGACGTCATCCGCGTAACGTCAGAGACACGCCATCTCTAACTAACATATAACCGTGCTCCTCTGCTGTATTGGCGCCAAACGTGAAGATGATTCCTAATGTTTGACGAAGAGTGGTTTGATTTTGAAAAAAAAACTCCGCGTTTATCTAGTAGGTGAAATCTCCTCCTTGAACAGGTAACCCTGTCCGCAAGCCTTGTTCATTATTTAGAGGAGCGTCACCTGTAGAAGTTATCTCACTGATCTGAGGCAAGATATGTTTGTGTCAGCGATACTACTTTCTTAAGCCCAAATGTGACCCATTCCGTCAATTCTGTTGGGACTGGCCTTTTACTTCTTTCATTTCTTTTCTGTCATCTCTGTCTCTGGTCTCTCTCACGCGCCACAGAATTTTACATCTTCGGATGCTCGTCCAGCACTGAGGCATTAGTCAAGGTTTCAACAACGAGTACTGCCCTTTTTTCTTGACAGGTACTCACTACAAACTCATAGTCTGAACTAGACGGTTCACGAATGAAAACTAAGGAATTGTCTTTACAAGTACCTACTATGCCTGCCCTACATCAGCTTATTCCATGCTCTACCTCCTGCAAAAGAATCGTTTGGTCCTTAGTGAGGAACCGTTTGCGAAGATGCCTCCTCTTTAACGGAATCTTGAGTAGAGTTGCTGTAAGGACTGGTTGACAGCACGGGCTGGGACAGCTGGCGCAAAAGTGACCCTCTCCTCTGGAGAGGGTCGGAGGCTACGAAACTGAATCTGGGAAATCGAAGGACTCCAAAAGGAGCAGTCCTGCAAAGAGAAGCCCCGACACTGGAAAGAACCCTAGGAACCCTGGGCAGACGGGGAGGGGGGGGGACTCTTCGGTCGCTACGTGACCCCGCTTTGCTTAAATGCCGATCGCGTTACCCTTCAAGGCTGAACACGAGCATCAGGAAAATAATTACTTAGCGCAGAAAATTGTGTGTAATCATGTGTGACTTAATGAAATGTACCAATGATGGAGAAAAGGCAATTAACTTTTGCCTGCCCAAATGCGTCAGAGACCGGTCAGCGAACTGTTCAGTAGTTTCGCATCGCCAGTATGTTCAGTGGACCTTTTACGACGGAACAGGTTGGCCTAAATTGATCATTTTTAGTATGCCTACTCTCGACGTCGATATGGTAGTGGCAACGCCATGTAATAATCTCGCTGTCTTCAGTACTATGGACGAGAGTGGAGGAATATTTGCTCCTCTCAAACAAACTATCAAAAAAGATCCTACAAGGTAAGCTAGAATTGACAGTACTTCCCCTGCTCGCTCAGGCGATCTTTACTAAGTCATCTCTTATCAGTTTATCATATTACTTGTTGTAACTATTGGAGTGCACCTGATACTGCCGACTTCTCCCCCTTTTCTCCGAGAAGATCTTCATAAAATGACATTCTCCTTCTTTCTTACTTCCTGTTTTTTCTTCTCACCTTTTCTTATGGAAGGAGCTCACACAAGATGTCATTCTGTTCTTACTGGTTTGAATTCCCTCTCAGATATTGTTTCAGTCTTGTCCGCGTGAATAGCAGGGTGCGTCAAGGGGGTATGGATTTAACGCGGCGCTCAGCCCTCATTTTCTTTTCTTTCTTTCGAAACGACAAGACTATATCATTTCGTGCTGTCGTTTTGCAGTAACTGTTGTCGTTTAACCGCTTCAACAACTGGTGGAGAACGCGCTGGCGGCGCGCCAAAACTATCCTCACTGACACGCCCTTTCATCTGCAATGAACAGGGATGTAGATTACCTATCTTCCAGTGGCTGCCCCTGAGAGTAAATTCCATCCTGATCATGTGGACGAGTCCGTTGAATAACTCAATAGTCCATCCTCAAAGTTTGCCGCCTTAGAGTGTCACGTCAAGTAGTTCTCCGTCTCCGCCTCTCCGCCGTTGTCTAAACCTACCTAGCCATCGCGGAATGTGTATTTAATACGCATATATCATGCAGTATCGCAGGATCTTTGATTGGAAGCTAAAACTCCTCTGGGTTGCGGTAGTGTAAATATCTCTTATTATCCCCTTTGAAGTGGAAATAAGTAATCGATTCTCGTGACTAGAGAACAGTAGTAAAGCTGGTGGTGCTTTGAGCCTTCGTGCATTCCCCAATATTTCTCTTTGGCTATTTGTCAGCTGATCATTTTTTTCGCAGGCCTCAAACCTGCCTCTGTTGCTCATGCCGATTATTCCAGTTTTCGGTCTGATTCGATTGGTAGCAAGTCCGACTCCAATTAATTTTTCGTCATATCTTGTTTTCAAACATTGAGTGTGTATGGACTGCTCATTCTTACCTAAAATTCATGCATGCTCGAAACAACGAAATTATTTTAGATTTGAGCTGACTGATGAGGAGCAACTCTACTGGACTGTGCTTCGGCATGCTCATTCCACAATGAACGAAGCCGGCTTTAGAGGTCTTGAGGAGGTAGGATCTCCTTTACTATATAGTTCAAACACGTATTGGTCTAGCTTTCTTCTCGGGCTCAAACACACTGCGTACCACTACATTGCAGGACCTTACACTTCTGTTTCGTCATTTTTTACACCATAATCAGTGTTTTCTTCTGCCTTTCCAAATTCATACGAGATATATGTCTGCCTTATCCTAAGACGTTTTCGGGCAGCTGCGTATGTACCACTTGTTGTCTAGAATGTGATTAAAACCTCTATCGCTGTAAGAAAGCCTCGCATGGAGTGGGGTCTAGGAGCAAATGGTATTGCTGGTCGATTTACCCACAGAAGTCGAAAGGAATTTGTGCAAAACGGCTGAAAAAGGTGTTCCTTGTCCTAAGTGGGAAGCGAAGATTCGCTGAGGATTTCGTGTTAGGGACTAGACAGCAGCAAAGTAGCACACACTCGAAATCCCTGAAATGTGGTGGGCGTGGCTGCGTACGTCAACTAAACGTGGCGTTGAATGCGCTTTCGGAGAGATATTTTCATTTTGACACAATTGCGGTCGTGTCTCTGTCCAACGCAGAACAAGATGACAGTTGTCTCAAACTGAATTATGCCACGAGTAACCCTTCCTATGCCATGTCCAAATGCCACGCCCACCCCGTCTCGGAGTGTACAAGCAAACGGAACGACAGACGCTAAAGTGGGCGGAATCTTTTGATGGGGTCCGTTTGAGGAACATTTCGTCCTACAGACAGACCCCGCAATTGCGTATGGTGAACAGTTTTGGCCATTCAAAAACATATAGTCGCTATGCGACCCTCCAGGAGAGGAACAATAACAAAAAAAGCCTGGAGAACACCCCAAAAGGACCCTTGGCAACCAAGCATCTGTGCGAGTTGTCCGGACTGATCATTTTGCCAGCGAGAGTATATCCTGCCGCTTGTGGCTCACTAATCGTTTATTCGCTTCACCCAATGCTAATACCATCCAACAGTGAAGAAAAAAAACGTGGACCAAAAACTGACTCGCGACAGGAAATAGACTTCAAGTTTCGGTGGGCGGAGCAATTAGGGAGGCGTCAGAACTGCCACTTATGAGGGCCCCAGCACCTTCGAGACAGCTTTAGAGACTATGGACCAGACTACTCGAACACGCTGAGTGTGGAGGACTGTCTTTAAGGCTCTTCCTT